TGTTACCCCTGGGACTAAAGTAAATAGTAAAATTTACTACCCACTTCCCTTGACTAGAAAAGTAATTTATCACTACCATACCCCCCCCCCCCCCCACTTTTTTTTAAAGTTTGTCACACATAAGAGTTGCTTACAGGTGAGCTAAGATGAGTAATTTAGGTAATAAAATTGGGAAGTGATAAAATTCACATAAAATATATTTTAGGCAATTAACAAAAATATTATTATATTATGTTATTTCAGTTGTAAGAATTTGTTTAATGACATACAATAGTCATTAATTCAAACTAACTAGTCTCAGCTCTTTTAAACATTTTGTTTCTGTAGAGTATGTGGCACATATATACATTTTTTAAGTAACTATGTTCAAGGGAAATAAGATAACCACACAAAATTAGGTTAGCTATAGTCATGTATGTTTATCTAACCTGAACACAGTATTAATTAAGAGGAACCACAGACAACACAACCTTTATATTACTGACTTGTTTTATATTGTTCATTACTGATGAGCAGGGCTCATATTAAATACTTTTAGGTGGGTGGGTCCAAATTTAATGTTTTGTTTTCAAGTTTCTATTCAGAAGACCTATGAAGGAACTTGATGCACACACACACACATCCCACCCACCCTTAGCTGGAGGGTTTATGTGTTTTAGACAGGGGTGTCAAACTCCCTTGGTACTTCCATCCGAGCTGATGAGGTCCACAAAATACATCATCATGAATGGTTTTATGATGTTACACAATATTGTATGTCAAAAAATTAACCAAAAAACAACTTATAATTTTTTATGTAAAATATCTAGGGAACATCTGGAGTAATTGGTGGGATTATATCCAAAACTGACAGTATTTTTTGTTTACAGTTTTTACTGCATGTGTGTGTGGGGGGGGGGGCTCAGAGGCTTCACAATATTGGACTTGTAGTCATATGGCTGCAAGTTCAAGGCCAGCCTGTATCATGTTGTTGTTGTGTCTTTGAGTAAGACACTTTACTCATTTGTTTTAGTCTACCCAGCTGTTAGCTGGAGGTTAACCTGCAATCAACTGGCATCCCATTCAGGGGAAATGGGTTACTATTCTTATCCACTTGTGCCACTTGAAACCAGAGTTTGATGCCTTGCAAAGACACAGCAAAGATTTAATCCAACTAACCCACAAGCAATTTGGTGCATATATAGTTTAAAGAGATGTTTAAAAAATCTTAGATTCCATTGGTAATTCTCTGATTAAAGAAATTCACCACTATATGTATGTTTATATTACAGACATAAAGACTTCTGGTGTTGTCTGTCAGGATGTTAGAGACGAAGTAAGCCAGGATGTTGAAATAACAGAGAACATGAACAACTCAACAGCTATAGCCAATGCTGGATGTGTTCGCATGATGTACCATTCTCAATCAGATCACCAGCTTGATCCACCATACATGACCCCTAGTATGAATTTGCTTTTAATGCCAGAATTTTATACCAATAGTTTCTAATGTTTCTGTAGACTACAGTGTGATTAAATTTAATTTTAGTTGGAGAAAATCTGACTTAATTATTTTCCTCTCTTGTGGTATTTCTGTGAATTGTACAGATTTTGAACTTTAGAAGTATTACAGTGATATTGTATAATCTCATAACTTTCATTCTTCCACAGAAGGAACTCCATTACAGGAGTTGAAAGTCATGTTGCAGAGGCAGTTGGATTACTATTTCTCAAGGTATGGATTAAATAATGGTAGATGAATTGCTAAAACAAATGTGTTGCGTGACTCATTGAGACTGAATATGCAGTATAATATGGTAAAAAGGAATGTGTTGTATAACTTGTTAAACACGTGCTGTATAACTTCAGTAATTTGCTGTGACTTTTTAAAAACAAATGTGCTGGGTGACTCATTGAGACTGAATATGCAGTATAATATGGTAAAAAGGAATGTGTTGTATAACTTGTTAAACACGTGCTGTATAACTTCAGTAATTTGTTGTGACTTTTTAAAAACAAATGTGCTCCATAACTTGTTTAAAAAAAATGTGTGCTGTGATTTGTTAAAAATGTAATGTATGACTCTAAAAATATATACAATGATGTGTTTACCATTTTGCAATAGGAACCCCTTTAAACACTGCTGAGCAGGCAACTGTGTTGCATTCAAATTTTAATTAAACACCATTACTATCAATCTACATGAATGAAATTAACATTATAATGTATTTTATGATTCAAAGTTTTATAGTATTTAAGTTTTAAGTCCTTTATTTCAAAAGAAGCCTTGTCAGATTTTATGTATATGAATGGGGTGGGATTCTTTTACAGTAGGTGTCTGTGACTTGTTGGCAATAAATTTGAACAATAAACAGACAGCACACAACAGAAAATTACAGTTGTATCTAAAACTAAATAATTCTCTTTCTTGTCAAAAATCCACACAGGCTGATTCAATTACTTTAGAATCCAATTGACCAGACAAACTATTTTTCTCTACTTTGTTTCTTACTATACAATCTATGATAGATTCACTTACGTTACTCCATGGGTTACCACAGTTGTATCTTGAACTTTAAATAATTCTCTTTTTCATTCAATTACTTTAGAACACCCTTTGACTAGACAAATTATTCGCCTTATCTCTGTTAAACAGTGAAACTCACTTTAAAATTTTTCTCATTATGGCTAAACTGACAGTCACTTTCACTAACTTAAATTTTTATGACTTCCTTTTATACTTAACTTCTTTTATTGGTTACTGTAGTTGTATCCAGAGCTTTAAATAATTGTCTCCTTTCTTTGTCAAAAGTCCACACAGGCTAGTTCAGATACTTTAGAACCCAAGACAAATTGTTTTTCTTATCTCTGTTATTACAATACAGCTGTGAAAAACACTATAGAAATCACCCATTAAGGCTAATCACTCACACTCTGGCTAACTTGGCCATATATGTGTGTGTGTGTGTGTGTTTCCAACTGAGGTTTAGAACTTCCTATAAACTAGGAGACTCTATGATGTAACTATACTCACATAGTGAGAAAAACTTGAGAGGTTTGAGAAAGATGATGTCAATAGTACTACAACTGAACTACACACAACATACATCTGTTACCAAGCTTTGTAACAAAATTTCTCATAACTATCGCCTTTAAAATAATTATTTTTAACACACTTGTCATTAAATATTAAATCACTAAATAATCTAGATAATAACTCTTACACTAAATAGTCTTGTATATCCAACAAGCCTATAAAATAAACTACTTATAACTTGAGATGTATTGTCATGTGACCCATAAGCTGTGAAAATTCTCTACTTTGGCACACTGTATCTTCAATAACATGATGCCAGTTATGTAGATGTACATATAGACAAAAGGATGTTTACTTAACTTGTTGACATGTACATTTCAAAGTTCTTTGGATGGATGAATGCTGTTGAAACAAGTAATAAATTTTGTCAGCCCCTGACTGGTGCCATGTTCACCTTCAATAGATTTGTTTGAGCTTTATATCCAACATGTAGAGGTTACATACACATGTATATAGTAATTAGAAATAGCTCATTTTCACTATAATCCAACAATGGTTATTTTGAAATTGGCAGGCAGTTTTCATCACAGAGTACATATAACTGCCTGTAGTATCATTGGCTGCTTGATCAACTATAGCACTTATGGTTGTTTCTTACCTAAATATTGTATATTTAGACATACAGTTTAAATTGTATTTAGGTCTCACTATTATATTTTAGTTAATTATGTATTAGTTATGTTTTAAAATGCATAATTGAAAGGTTTAAACATTTTGAAAATATACATCATGCTATGCATCAGTTCTCAATAATAACTGAATAATAAGTGGTAAAAGAACAAGAAAGGAAAATAAAACATTAAAAATTAACTATATGTGAAAATGAAAAAAACCTGAAATTACAAATTTAACAAAAATCTTTAAAGATATTCTAAAAAAACTAAAAGGTATTTTTTTAAAGTCCATTTACTAATTTTAATTATTTCATTGCACTGTATATTGATAATAATAGCTACAATTAGTGATATGGTAGAGAAAATGAAAATATTAACGTTTACCTTAAAAAACTTAATATTCATTGAGGAGGTTCTAGAGGTTATGCAAATGTACATAAAATTACAATCACTTTGCATTCAAATTATTCAGAGTTTGAGTGCAAATAACAAACATAAATAAATAGCATATTTTTATTAGAAAGACATGATTAAAATAATGTAATTCCTTATGTACAAGATACTTAAAATCTTTAAAATAATATTACTGGGTTTTATGGGGATATCTCAGAGTATCGTATGTATTGTTGCATAAATGTCCTTCCAAAGTTGAGAGAATGTAAAACATGTCTGCCCATTGCGAGAAGGTTAAAGACTCAATATGTGTTTTTTTTTAAGTGTGCTGTGACTTATTAAAAATGTAATGTGTGATTTGTTAAAAACGTGTGTTGTGACTCATTAAAATGTATGCTGCATTGTAAAGATAGTATGATATTTTAGTCACAAAAGGTACAAAATAGTTTTGTTTCAAAAAATAATATAAATAATGACTAGATTACTAAATTGAATTTTATGAAAAGGACCATTTCTTCAACAATCCAAGATATTAAAACATTTTGCAAAAGAACCACTACACGGGTGTTGACAAGAAAAAATACATTTTAAAGAATGTGAGATTAGGAACTTGTAGATTTAGGATCAGAATGATCTAAAGAGAAGCAAGCCATGTGTTATTTACTACCCAGAGACTCGCAAGCATAAATTATACCCATGTTCGCATTCAGGATTTGAAACTGAACTCGCACAGAAATGGCTGATTATGTGGTTATTTTCCTCTGGAAAGGAATACCATTTTTTTCTCTATTTTTTTTTATCCTAATATTTACAGAAAGAATTATATGTAACATTACATTTAAAACTTTTTAGGTGTTATTTGCATGTAATTTTCAGTATTGTTTTTTTTTTCAAAAAAGGAATAAAATATATAAACTGTTCATTTGGATAAATTTTTCTTTCACTTTTTCCAATATACTTATTTGTGTACATTAACTATCACAACTTTGTTTCAGGGAAAATTTGGCCCACGACACATTTCTTGTTTCTCAAATGGATAGTGACCAATATGTTCCAATCATTACAGTCGCTAACTTCAACCAAGTGAGACGCCTCACTAAAGACTTGAAATTGATTGTGGAAGTACTGAGAGGTGAGACTAAGTTAAGATCTAGATTTTAATATGGACTGCCTCAGAATATGTTGAACAATTAATTTCTGAAGTTAACATCCAGTTGTGCTTTCCTTCCTTCACAAAACAGGCCAGATTTCACTTAGGTTTACAAGAGCATAACAGAGAAAGAATTTTAGTGTTCTAAGTGAAAACTGATAGAAGTCATTTTTCTTTATTTCATAATAATGTTACAAAAAAGGACATAGGTTTGTGGTTTGTTCAGTAATTATTACTTTTGTCTTATTTTTAGTAGTATCTTTAATTATGATGCTCATAGTTTGGAACAGTACCATTATTTCAGTTGGTGTTGTTAATTGTATTTAAATAGATCTTTTAGTCATGTAGGATAATCCAGTATTTGGATTTTATAAATTTTAATAATCTAATATGTCTCCAATAAATAAAATAATGAATATGTAATAATGTGATTTTGTATACCAAAGAAAACAATAAGTTAGACAACTTTTACACACTGAAAAAAAAAGAATCTGTCTTCTGTACTGTTTTTTTAATGGATCTGTATTGTACAAATAAAATAACTAATTAATTTAGCTTAGCAATTCTTCTGTGACAGTGATTGAAGTTGAATTCTAGAAGATTTTTATGAAGTTTGGCTGTTGGACAATTCCCAGAAATGAGCAACTTTTGTTAGTTTGCTGTTTTGGTTATATATTACAAAACAATGTTTGTAATCATGATTAGTCAAGAAAAGGAATTTCTCTATGTCCAGAAGCTTAGGTTGGCCCTGTAGTAGAGCTCTGGATTTTGAAACTTGTGAGCCAGGTTCGAATCTTTGAGATACCACAGAATATTCTCCACACTTTAAGATGTAAATGCATTATAAGAGTGACATTCAATCCCTTAGCATTGGCGGTAGGTTGCTGCTGACTGGCTGGCTTCGTTCTGGTCAGTAGGTCAAAATTACTGATGGCAGCAGATATCTTTACTTGCTTTACCATAAATAAAAGAAAAATACCAATGTTACAGATAATAGGTTATATTTGAGTATCTTCAGTTGGTGAAACATCAACAAATACATTTGTTTTGGTGTAGGCGTTTGGTAACTTGTATAATGTCAAGACATCATTTTTAAGGAGTGTGATCAAAGTTGCACTTCTTAATTTTGTCCTAGGAACATAAATAATAGCTCTACTTAAAATTCCAAAAGTGGATATAAAAAAATCAATTACTATAATCAGCATGGCAGACATGAGGATTTCATTTGATTTGATTGTGTGGCTAACTTAATTTCAAGCTGATGTGATTTGGTGATGTGTGTGTGCAAATTGATATACTTTAAAACAAATTTCCATCAGAGATTGACAGACTTCTCAATTGTTCAATAGAATGCGTTCAACTAGAAAAGAGCCAATCAGTATTGATATTACATGAACATTCACCATGAAAGAGCGGATGTAACATACAGCTTATTTCATCATGAAATGTAACCCCTACACAAGGCCAACCAATATTATACATACACATGATTTTCCAGTTCATTTGTTTTTGTAGAATATGACTCTTGGTAGTGCTGGATGGAAAGTTGTATTTTTTATGTGGCTTGATTTTGGCAACCAAAAATAAAGAACTTGCTCTCCTTAGTAATTTAGCGAGAACAATTTATAGCTGTCCTTGTATTTATTAAAATGAAGAACTGTATTGTTTAATTCTTTTGAATCATTAAAAAGTTTGAATCAAAATATAAGAAATTCGTTAGAAACTACAGTTAATACCATTGAAATCTGTTGAAATGTTTATTTATTTTTTGTTTTTATGATCTTATTTTTTAATAACCAGAATCACCCAATGTACAAGTTGATGAGGCTGGTGAAAAGGTTCGTCCAAATCATAAGTGCTGTGTCTTAATACTTCGTGAGATACCAGAAAATACTGCAATCAAGGTAAACACGATTCAGTTAACTCTCTCAACACAGTCTTGGTCAATTTGACTGACCACGTGACCTCTTTGTTCTCGTATAAAGTCTTTATAGATTTGATACCAGTAACTTTTAATATAGTACATGTATCATCATAAAATTTGGCAGACTTTCAGTAAACATTATAAATCTTTCCTTTACAAAAAATCATATTGTTTAGTGAAGTATTTTAACCCATTACTTGCCATGGCCATTTTGTTTCATCATGAGGTCAAAATCACATTTGTGAATTTAAAAAAATTACAGAGAACTTATCTTTTTATTGAATTTTAGATTTTATTTCTGTAAATAGTAGCATAACATTCAATTATTTGTACAAAATTGTATTGTTTAATGGAGTTTAAAGAGAAATTTAATTTAAAAAAAATCCCAAAATACGTTTGAGACTATAAATAAGTGCCCTCTAAGAAGAAAATGTTTACAATTTTTTCCTGCACTTTAGCACTGGTCCTGTCATCTATTATTGATATCTAAACATTTTTATAGTCTGTTTTCTTTATAAAACAGCATCTGGGCATGTTAAACCTCAGTTGTAAAATTTTTAGCCAATCCTAGTCGAAGGTGTCAATTTCAGTACAATGTTATTCCAATCCTGTATTTCATGTTTTACAAATCATAGGATGATAAGCAAAGCACATGATGAATCATTATTCTCTGGAATTTACAATTTGAATGTGGGTGGTGCTTATAGTAACTGCCATTTTATGTAGAGGTTGTATTTAGTATTGATCAATAGTACTTTTTTTTATAAGCCTTAGAAAACTTACTTCTGGAAAAAACTGCATGGGATGTATGTGAAACAACATACAAGGACATATATTGAAATAAACTTGTTTGAAAGTTCAAAGAAATGATATTCAAGTACCAAAAAGCTTTCTTACTATTATATGTACAGTAATGTTCAAATGCGCCTGCACTGGACTGAACGAGAGTGACCCCCAACAGGCACAATAGTTTACAGCAAATGTACGAAGTTCACACTGCTAACCTCATGATTTATTCGGCATAATAAACAAAAGTACAGCTGCAATGAAACATAAACTTGAAATAAAAAATACATTTATTAAAAAAAATTAAAATGTTTTTTATATACATACGTAGACATGAAATCCTAGTTAAAAAAAAAATACTCATTTATTGTTTAGGTTTACTTAGAAGTATTATTTTCGACTCTTGTATATTACTTGAAACCATAAGGAGAGTATGTGGTTATTAAAAAAATTTAAAATGAACAAAATCTGCATTTTATGGATGATACAAATTTTTGGGGATTTTAAAATAATATACTAAAACATAAAAAGT